GCCAGGAGCCCCTAGTAGCGTCCTTGCTAGTAGCGATGCCAGGAGCCACTAGTAGCTTCTTGTTACTAGTAGTAAGGCACTTGTTACTAGTAGCGATGCACCTGTTACTAGTAGCGTCCTTGCTCCTAGTAGCGATGCCAGGAGCTAAGTGCAGAAAACTGTTTGCATTTCTCGATTTGCGGTGGTGGGACTCACCACCCCATGTAGCCTCGGTTTGTCTTCCACTCGAGAAGCTAAAAGCTGCGGAGCAGCAAAACTAGCGCCTGGATTGGGTAATGAGTTCTTCTCACGTGAGAAAAGGAATTGTCCCTCCCACCCACCTCAACGGATAAAAACTGCAAGTTTAATTTGATTCTAATAGCTTCTTGTTACTACTAGTAAGGCACTCGTTACTAGTAGCGATACACCTGTTCCTGGTAGCTTCTTTTGGAACTAAGTCTCTGCGAAAAAATAGAGCAGCGCTTGGTCGGACTTGTAAGCCACAAGCGTTCGAACCTTTCCATGGGTTCAGTTGCCGCCCCAGGCCCCATTTTTGGAAAGAAGGGGTCGAAAGGCAATACAAAAAGCAACAATTCTAGCGTCAGTTTCCTTGGGGTGATGCTGTAGCAGAGCACTTCGACGACTATACTACTATACAAAACAGAAGGACTCCGAAAAACTGCGTTGATTAGGCGGTTGGGGTAACCCCAGCTCAGAAATCTATTTTTGAAAAGTGCCTTCGTGTCGCCTTCGTGTCTTCAAAGTCACTTGAAGATGAACAAGTGACAATGTACCTGCATAATTCAGCCTTGATCCAGAAAATGAAAACGTTCCAGGAGTGGTTTGAGTTCAACGGCAATGGTTAGGCTTGAAAAAAGTCTTGCACCTCAAGCGGTCACCAATTCTCCGAGAGTTTATTGAAAATTCACTCCATTCAAACTTGGAGTCAGCAGAGTTGCACGCATTGAAAGCACTCGCAAAAGACTCCGGCACTTTCAACATGTCTCAGATGTTAAGAAAATCCTTTGGAGGCCATCGCTATTGGTTAGCAACTCCAAAGGAGTGATTTAATGCACCTAGTAGCGTCCTTTGCTCCTAGTCGCCGTCAAGAACTGTCGTATTGGGTGTCCGGGCCATGAGCTGCACCCAGTCCGTCACAGCATCGCTCCAGAAAAGGGCGGCAATGTCTTCGTGCACAGGCCATCCTGATTCCTTAGTGGTTTTGTGTTACTAGTAGTAACAAGTGCCACGCTAGTAGTAACAGGTGCCTTACT